TATTTTAGTCTAAGACGGCTCGCCTTGCTCTTCGCTTTGTCCAATAAAAAAAAAATTAGATAGCTGTAAAAATATATATTTAACTATCTTTGCAAATGATCAACATTTTTGTTATGATCGAAGCTAGGGGTGTGCAACGATCGGTTCGGTTCGGTTTTTACCAAAATTTGAACAACCAAACCGAACCGTCTATAATTCAAAACTGAACCGAACTGTTGCAAATCGGTTCGGTTCGGTTTGTTCGGTTCTAACTTCATCAAACTTCTTATCAAACAACAAACTGTGTTAAAGAAAAAAAAGATATCAACAAAGTAGGAGATTATGAAGCATTAAACACTGATATAATGATATTGTTTTCAACCCATAATGATTCAGAAAATGAGTTTAGGGTTTGAGCCTTTGACTCTTTGGGGACGGATCGGGTAGGGTTTGAGATCAGAACGGGTAATATTGCACTATATTCGGTCGGTTAAGGTTGAAAAGTTTTCAAACCGACCCGAACCGCCCTACTCATAAAATCGATTTTTCTGGATCGGTTCGGGTCAGTTTTTTCGGTTTGGACCGAACCATGCTGAGCACTAATCTAAGCATTCAACACTTCCCGCAAATAAAAAATATCACATTCATTCAATATTTCTAACGTATACATTTAGAAATGAATGGTTTGTACTAATCCTAAATACTAACTATTTTAAATATTAAATTTATAAAGATAGAAAATTCTAAATCATGTAGTTTTTTTATCTATTGAGATTAAGTAAAATATAAAAAACACTTGAATTGTTTGACTTCACAACATGCATTGATTAACAATAAATTTTTATAGATGTGTAGTTACACCCTTAATTCATCAGTAAAATCCCATCCTCAAGAAAAACACCCAAAGTAAGATGCAATAAAAGATAATTTATTTATACAATATCCCGATATAACACTAAATAACCAGTGACAACCGACACTATCATCTTCCACCCTCGGAATCCCATGTCGGTAATTACATCGAAGTCAAGGACCGAACCGCAAAATTAACAAAAAAACGGAAAAGGTTAATAAAACAACCATCGCCGGGCTCCGACAAAAATCCGCTCAAAACTTGAACGACCAGTTTCACTCGAAAACACACCCACACCCCCCTCTCAAACGAAAAGATTCAACAACCTCGGCACCGATCGATCCACAACGCTGTCAGCGCTTCGTCGTCACCGATCCTCCTCCTCCGTCGACGGCGTCGTCGGCCTTCGCTTCCCTCCCTCGATCTCGGCGTCAGGCACAGATCCAGATCGCAGGCCGTCGCAGCAAAGGCGACGTCTCTTTCTCTCCTCCTTTGACCCCGCCGTTAACCAGGTCGACGCGTCAAGATCCGGCATCGGCCGCAGCGTTCCGCCCTGAGCACCGTCTCGACCGCCGCCTGGCACAGGTTCCAATTCCCCGTCCAGAGAAGACCCACCGCGCCGTTCACGGGTTGATCGTACGCGCCGCAGGCTCGAACAGCAAGGACTGAAACAGCGCTGGCAATAGATAGAAAAAAAAGTAAGGGTTCATTCACAAAGACTTCCGAGGTCCGATTTTAGTGGTTAGTGATTTTTACTTGGGCGCTGGGGCTCGGGACGGCGGAGATGAAGGACATGAGCCGGCGCGGCCGAAGAGAACTTGCGACGAGACGGTGGCGTGGCCCTGGGCCTCGGCGCGTTCGATCCACTGCAGGCACGTGCGGAGCACGCACGACTGCGCTGCAGCCTTTCGAAGAACTCGGCACCCGTTGCAAACTCATCTCTCGATCAAAACTTCCAATAAAAACTTCCGCGTTGTTATAATAGAACCGTTACTTGCGGAGCAAGAAACACGATGAATAGGGGGAGAAGCGAGAAGAGAGAAGACAGGAGCGGAGAAATGGGGGAGAGGGGGTAAATATAAGGGTTAAAGGAGGGGTTGGGGTGAGCTGACCGAGTTGGTTTAGAGTGGGGGTTGGGTTAGCGTTAAGCGGAGGCGGGAGGTGAGGTTACGGGGGGCTATAATAAGTTCCAGGTCGTGGGGGGGGGAGAGAGAGAGAGAGAGAGAGAAGAGGGAGCGGCTGGCGTGTTTCGCGGATGGTCCCCCTCTCCACCGTCGGATTCGTTTTTTTTTTTTTTTTGGACGTAAACTATCGATGCGATCGTCAAATTATTCTTGGCCTTTGGGGGGGTTTCTTTCTAATGAGGTCCCTAGATTACTTTATTAATTATAAATGGAGGACAGCGGGGCGGTTTCTTGGGTGATAATTATTGAATGTTCTGAAGTTGTTAATGGGTCGGGTACAGTGGATGCACCTCCAACCCGCCTTTTAACTTTGATATTTATGAGAACGAGTTTAGTTGTAGCTTGTGAATCAGCTTCCTCCTAGTTCACTATTAAACTAGTTTAGTGACCCAAATTTGAACTAAAATGAACCGGATAAAAAATTGTCAGTTTTGGCCAACTGAGATAACACTCTTTAATTGGATCGTGTTCGTGGCCCAGAGCTAAATAGTTACCAAACTCACCCTAAAAGCCCTGAACGATGTGCTTGATGAATTTACATGTTGTTAGACCTCAACGTTCGCCACAACTTCAGAGTTTATATATGAGCAACTCATGTTCTAATCCCACTGGTCAGGAATTTAATGTCGAATGTTCTTTAGAAAAATAATACTGCTATATGAGCCCATGAAAAGGATCCTCAACCTATGAGAGCATTTTAGGATATAGAGCTGTAACCCTCAAACCTCATCACAGCTTTATAGTTTTTATGCAATGACAGAGACTTCAAGACATATTCATGTTAGGTCTCATGTTTATGAGCCTACTATCTAATCTAGTTTTGACAACTAATTCCTAACATCGTTTGTCGATATATAGATATATATATATATACATTCGTTTCATATTTATCATCTTTATCTGAAAAATAATGTGTTTATGGATTAAAGACTTGTTTACACTATTTTATATCTTTTCTCAAGTCTATTAATCGATCTATTGAAAAGTGTTTTAAAACTTGTTTGGAATGATTTCATCAAAAATCAAGTTTTGACGAACTCGTATTTTTAACACTTGCATAATGATGAGTTTTCATAAACAGAAAATGAAAATTCAAAAATTTCTTCTTAAACATGTTTGTTTTCATGTTTATAATCATTCCCCAAAATTTTACTATTTTTAGAGTTCATTTGTTATTTTAATTTGATTTTACAAAGTCAGATTTTTAACTTAATGAGCTGTATCTAGTAGTATCAGCTTTCGGTTGACCAGGTCTTACCCATCAGTCGACCAACTAGTAGGTCTGTTTACAGACCCTACAGACAAATCGCTCATCAGTCAACCGACACACAATGATCGGTTGATCGATGGCATAGGTTCAGTCGACCGATACAACATTGTCGGTCGACCGAATGAGCTTGCAATGTTTTAGTCTGCCAACGGTTATCTTGTCGGTCGACCGACCATGGTCCATCGGTCGACCGAAACTACTGTAACGGCTAGTTTTTCAGACTCTGAGATTTTGAGGGTCCATCGGTCGACCGAAACTACTGTAACGGCTAGTTTTTCAGACTCTGAGATTTTGAGGATTTTGTTGGTTTTGAGGATTTTGTTGGTTTTGAGGATTTTCTTGGGATCTGTGCTATTGTTTTGAGCGCCTATAAATATCTTCCAACCCTCATTTGTTCAGAAACTAAGAAGGGTGTTTAAAAACAAGTTTTGCAAGTTTTGTTTAAGGATTTCAAAGAAAAATCAAGTATAGTTTGTTTGTGTGAAGAGATTTTCACAAGAGAATAATTGCAACAACGTTCTTGAGGATTTCAACCTCAAATTTCTATCTCTCTTATTTTGGAGAAGTTTTCTAAACTCATTTATCTAGCTTGTTCTTATCGGAACACATTGTGTAATACGGACACTTAGAAGATTGGTTGGTGAGAGACGAGGTCAATTCCAAGAGGAGTGCCGTCGGTAGTAAATCCTAGGAAGAGATTATAATTCCAAACACTTGAGGAAGGTGACATGGGCTAGGCCAACACTTAGAGGAGTGTATTGTGTGATTGCAATCGTGTGAGTTGTAAAAGTTTTTGGTGAACTTAAAAAAGCGAGTGTGTAGTTATTTTTTGTGATTAGTGGAGATTCTCCTCGAGGGTGAGGAGCGGAGACGTAGGTCGAGGGTGACCGAACTCCGTGAACATTTTCTTGTGTTTGTGTTTGGCATTAGCGTATATTTTTCTTATATCTTGTGCTCATTGATTATCACTTATTGTCATATTGCACACCATTGCTTATCATTGCATATAATTTATTGTACATCTCTTCGTAAGGATATTGTCTCATAGTTTATTCGCCCATTATTTCATTATATATCATTGTATATCTCATTGCTAAGATATATTAGTTAATAAATTTTAATTTAGCATTGTAATCAGATTAGATTAGAAAATACCCTATCCCCCCCCCTCCCCAGGGTACTTTCATTTGGTATCAGAGCTTGGTGCTCTTGATTTGTAACTTAATCGCCTAGAGTCAAAGATCCAAGTTTTTATATTTTGCTAATCTAGTTTTGAGATTATTTTATATTGCTTACATAATTTATCATGGATATGCACAGTGTACCTAGTTTAGGCTATGCCATTAATATTGCTCTAAAAATTGATAATTTCCCCTATGCTCAATGGTGTGTTAGATTTAAACTTTTTGTTAGATCTAAACATTTTGATTTATGGAAAATAATCGACGATGCTCATATATTACCCACTTTGGAGAAATCCAAGTGGAGTGAAAATGATAAAAAGATGTTTACCATGAACAAACTATTATTAGAGTTTTTGCTAAATGCCTTTGATTCATCCATGTCTAACAAGCTTGCTTACTTTGATAGTGCTTACAATTTGTGAAAATTCATAGAGGCACATCAAGGGAACTTGGAGGAGATCTGACGTGTTTTAACGGATTCTACTTTAAGTACATTTGAAGCATCTTCATCGTGCACATAGCCACTAGGCGATAGCCCTAGTGAGGTATGTGAATCTGATTCTGAATGTGATTTAACTATTGACGAACTCACTTGTGCATATGAACGCTTAATGCATGCCTATAAAAAGTTATATCATAATTTTATTGATTTGAAAAGCAAGCATGTAAGCTTAAAATCCGATCATGAGTTGTTAGCTTCTAAGTTTGATATTATTGCTACCAAACATTTGTAATTCGTGGTCTAATCAGACAACATATTGCTTCTAATATAGGGATTGCGAAAAGTAAAATATGATCCTTAAAGAAAATAATGAAAAATTAAAATTGGATCATGATTCTTTAAATTCAAAGGTTGTTAGCATAACTCATGATAAAAATAATGCCATATTAGAAATAAAAGCAATTAGAAATGAATTTACATCATTTAAGGATAATCATATTTGCTATACTTCCATTGTTAATGATGTTGTGCCTAATGATGAGTTGAATAATATTAAAAATCGTATTTCTTCCTTAGACTCAACTCTAACTACATGCATTGACATGCATTGACAATAATAATAAACTTATAAATATGTGTACTAAGTCTTGTACAAATGATTCCAAATCTCATACACACTATGTACACATGTATAACAAAGTTTATAAAGACACCATTTGCAGCCGTAAAGACCACCTTGTAAAATTTTGTTATGATGCATAAAAATCTACTAAATCTAATATTAATGCTCCTTGTGCATCTCATAAAGTTTCTTCATCTCACACTTATACATATTGTCATTCACACACACCAAATATTAATCATAAGCATGAGAATGTGTTTAAATGTGATTTTTGTGATCGTTTTGGTCATTTGACCAAATTTTATTTTGATTTGAAAAAGGTTTCACATTTGCAAAGAGTTTCAAATAAATCATCCTTGTTTGCAAATGTTCATCGTGCACAATCACAAGGTCAACACAAACAAATGCACCCATTTTATTGCACGTATTGCAATCGGAAGGGTTATTTGCACAATATTGTTATGACCGTGTTCATGCACCAAATGCGCCCAAATGAGATTATAATCCAAGGACATTAAGCTTTAATGATAGGGGTCATGTCCCTAAATTTTTCGGCACCAAAAATATTTAGGTGCCTAGACAAGTTTGATTTTAAAATCAAGATTTTTAGTGTTTTTCGTTTCTTGTTTTGGAAAAACGTATTTGAAATCTTTTTGAAAATATATATTGATCAAATTTTTTATTCAAATGATTGTTCATTTTGATCAAACAATATTTTTGAAAATTTATTCTATTATTCATTTCATATTATGATTGTTTGTTTTGCCTTTGAGAGCATTGATTGTGACAAACCATTTGCTCTAGTTGTAAGGATAAAGTCAAATTCTTGTATGTTTTTAGCATTTACAAGTTTTAAAGTTTTCAAACTATTTCAAATGCATGTTAGAAATGCCTTTCAAAATGTTTTTATATAAATAAAGAGGTTTATGCTTGAGAAACCCCTCCCGGATTTATTGATCCTCTTTTCCATATCATGTTTACCGGGTGTACAAAGTTTTTATATGGGTTGATACAAGCTCCAAGACCTTGGCAGATTGCTTATCTAGTTTTTCTTGTCAAAAATAATATTCAATGATATTATTAATATTAATTTGTTTTATCCTAAGCAGTTTTTTTATCTTTGTGGATGAAACACATAAATGTTTTGATAATTATTTTTGTGTGATCATGTAGATAGGAAAGATATGTCCCTTATTTATATTGATACAAAATCTTAAAAAATGGACATGTTT